AAAAAAAAATTTTTCCTTGTTTAAATTTTAAAATAGATCTTACCTTAACTAACTATAAATACTGGTTTTTGTAAGATTTAGTGGAAATTATTCCTGGAAGCTCCTGTGCAGTTATCATTTGGAAGCTTTGGCTTGCAAGGAAATATCCATGGACAGTCCCTGTTTAGGCCCCTTATGAAATTTCAACAAGACTTTATTGTTCATTTGCTCTTGACTTTGGCTGCAGATCAGATACACTATCAAAAATGTAAAATGAAACAGATGACTGTGCCCATTCAAAGCTGGTTGAATTTGAAACCTTCAGTTGAAACTCACTGCTAAGTTTGGTGATCCCACTACTTGAAAGTTGTTAAGATGGATAAAGCTGCTAAAAGTCTTATTTTTTTGGGGGCGGTGGTGAATTGGAACAGTGTCCACTTGAAAATACATGGGTCAAGCATTAGTAAGTCTTTTCAGTTACAACATTTAACAGAGTTAGCTGTTTATTGTGATGTTTACTTGAAAGTTTCTACATACACACAGGGTAACTCAAACAAAGTGTTAGGACATTCTCCCTTAGGTTTTGCCATCAGTGGATTAGAACGCTGAACAGCTTTCTGTGCTCACCCACTGTGGTGTATCACCTGCCTTTCTTAGACAAGTCCATGCATATTGTTGTTGTTTTTTTTTAAGGTTTTGGTATATATTCATTTATTAATTCCCAAGCATGCATATTGTTAATTTGGGTTTGATGTTAGTTTTTCAGTCTTCCACACCAAATTTATACATAATGTATACATAATATATACATATATACACAAATATATTTTGTTGTTGTTGTTGTTGGGGAAGATAAGGCTTTTTAGGCTCATTAACCTTCCTACTTTTCTTCCCTGAGTAGCTGGGAGTATAGATACATGCTACCACATGCCCAACCAGAATGCATATATCTTAGTTGACAATTCCGGTTCTTTATCATAAAACATTCATAGAATATATTTAAAATCATAGCATCATTATTAGTATAACAAAACAATGAAGAAAGTTTTTATTTTTTTCCTTTAGAATATATTCCACTATTAATTTATTTGTCCCTATTGTAAGTTTGTCTTTATTTTTTGTGAAGTAACTTTAATATTTGAGGTTGGAAAGGTATTTTAGAAGTAAAGATATCTCAGCCAGGCATGGTAGTGTACACCTGTAATCCCAGGACTGGGGAAGCTGAGGCAGAAAGATTAATGTGAAGTCAAGGCCAGTCTGGATGACATAGTGAGTTCAAGGCCAGCCTAAACTATATAGTGAGAGCCTGTTTAAAAAAAAAAAAGTAAAGCTATCTAAGATGTACTCACTGGTATTTGTGTGTGTGTGTGTGTGTGTGTGGCCAGCTTAGCCTATCCTAGGGGCAGGGCTGGCTTGGCATGTGGTCCCTGTGCTTTGCCTAAGCTTGCCTAAGCAGAGTTTTAAGACTGCTGAGCTATCTTGCTGGTCCCAGCTCACTGGTACTGTTTTCATTAGTTCCCCACTGACTTCCTCTGTGTCCCCTGTGTGTCTCCCCATAGGTAATTATTGTCACCCATTTTTTGTGTATGTTTTCAGCATATGTACATGTGTCTTTTTTCTAAACTCTTACACAAAAATTAGTATAACAAACTATTATGTACCACATTTATTGGATGATTTTCATTATTTTTGAATAAATGGTTAAATATGTAAGTCATTGACTTATTGCTGAATAATTGAATAAAATGAGGATTCCCCCCCATATCTTTTTTTAAAAATTGCAGTATGAGTGTGAGTAGTTTATAAGTTTATCTTGTTTATTGTTGCCAGCTTGCATTCACGAGAGATGGGCTCTGTGGTCTGTGGAATGAAATGGTTAAAGATGGAGAAATTATATATACTGGGTCAGAATTCAGCCAGAATGGAGAATTCCCTCCTAGAAAAGGTAAGCATCTTTACTAGTGTTTTCTGTTTTTAAAAGACCATTATTAATTGCATTTAAAAAAATAGTGTAATCTGCTGTAGGAATAGTAGCATTTGACTATACATACCTTTTTTTACTGTGGTGATTGTTGCGTGAAATACTAGCTAATGTTTTAGGCTGCCTGGATTTCATTGTTTGTGTGAATTAAGAACATCTTCATTTTAAAACTCCCTCCCTGTACTTCTTGCTGGTCTTGTCTGGTACAACTCATAGAAGTTGTTCATATTTCCTTTTTTAGGGGACGGGGAGATGGCTCAGTAGAATAAGTGCTTGCCTGGCAAGCT